ATGCTTCTTATATTTTGATGATAAATTACAAGTGAAGTCCACTGCCTACTATTATCCACCTTATTCTTATTATAAATCATTCCCATAAAAAATCCTTATTTCTCGTAGTTGGGATCTTTCGTCGCCTTCTCGGAGGAGCAGTTTGTTCTGCTACTCTGGCTATCCTCTGCTCATCCACGGAATCAATATTGGTTTCCCCTTTGTTTCTGTCTTCTTCGTCCATGTTGAGTGTAACATTTCTTGAGATTACTTTGGTAGCATGCCCTGATTCTATTGTTGGCTTTGCATGGTCGGGTATTGTCGTTTCCCATTTGAGTGGGATAATGGTATTTCTTGNATTGTTTTTTGATATGTCATTTGCTCCGCCACAATAGATCAGGATATCCTTCTGTGTTAATTTATTCACTTCCTGTATAGCCGTAGTCTTCAGTTGGTCAGTATTAGCATTGGGTTTTACTATTCCCATAATCTCATAGTTATCACCCAATTTGTATCTCAGTTCGCTGGAAAGTCCTCTAATGTGACTATCACCAATAATCAAAATTTTAGATTTTTCTGATGACTTAGTTGATTTGTTTTTCTCATCATTTTTTACCTTCTGCAGTCGATTATGGGTCTGCACACTTACTTCCTCTCTCGATATAGCCCTTGAGGTTATGATGGTTGGAATAGTTGAGATCACTTCATCATTTGTGTCTTCATTTATTTTGATGTTTCTAAGAGCTTCCGAGTAGGTTTTTTTAGGTAACACTTCACTATTGCTGGAGGGGGTCTGTTTAAGAGTTATTTTACTTTCTTCTAGTTTTAAAATTATTTCCAACAGGGTTTGTTTAACTACAGGACGAACGGCCATGTTGTAAAACTCATGTAATTCACTTTTATTCAATAATACTTCTAAATCTTGCTGTTCATTATCAGAAGCACTTGAAATATTTAAGACTCTATTTTGAACCAAAGGATCAGCAATATTGCTTAAACACGCTTCTTTAAGGTTAGTGGAAATTTCGTCAGTTTTTACCGTCTTCTTATTTAGTTCTTCGTGTAATATTTTTATTATTTTTTCCAGCGATAGTATTTCAGTCTTTGCCTGAAGTAGTTCAATACTTAATTCCTCACAACTTATGCATTTCACTTCTTGCATTGTACTTTCTTTATTAAAGAATAAAGAGATACAGCTCTCTGGTTGACCCATATAACCTGCCATCTTGGATGATCTTTGAGTCAAGACAACTCAGTATAGTGACAGGCCTCTGGTCTGGATAGCCGGTGTTCGATTTCTGGCAGAGGCAGGAATTTTTCTGTTGTTCGCAGTAGTCGTGCTGATTGTGGGGTCAAATGTGTACTTATGCACTGGTTACATAGGGATCATTCCCTGCGGGAAAAGTGGTAGGGGCATGAAGCTGTTCACTCACATCTGTCTAGTGCTGAGGTCATGAATGCGTGAAGCTGTAGCGTTACTTCCCTGTACGTATAGTATGGGCCTATTGAAGCACAAGGACAGCTTTAGCTATATCATACATGAGGTGTACTTGATCCTCTTTGGTTTGAAACCATCGTTGAGTATCCTCAGTTTTCTTGCAGAGATGGCTTCTGTATGGGTAGGACTGTGCATAGTTCAGGTTATGTTATGTTATGTCTGAACAAGTGAACAAACCCCATGCAGAGTTAGCAGAAGATGGATATATAAGCTGTATTACCATCATCACTCTTATTGCTTTTATGTGAACATTTTCACTGTTAATGTACCCTGAAGCTGATGGTTGAGTACAGTGAAGGCTGGTCTCTCACACTAAGATTTAAGGTGTTTGGAAGCAAAATGGTGAGGAGAATATTTATTTGGTCTTAGGAAGGAAGAGGTAATAGCATGAGGAACATTATTTATATTATTTACCAGATATTGTTAGTGTGATCAAATCAAGGTGGGAACATGTAGCATGCATGAAAAAATCAGGACTGTTAAATTTTCTTGTTGGAAAACCTAAAAGGAAGAGATGACTTGGGAGACTCAGGCATAGATGGGACTTGATATTACATAAATTAAATTAATCTTAAAAGAAATAAGTTTGTGAGCTGGATTCATTTGGCTTGGGATGGGATCCATTGATATTATGTTGTGAGGGTAATTAATCTTCATATTCCATAGAAAGTTGAGAATTTATTGACCAGTTGAGTAAACTGTCACTTTCTTGTGAAGCGTCGTTTTCCATGGGGTTGTTTGGTTTGATTTTCTTGTTATCTCTTAGTGTCACTGTAGATTGATTGTCTAGTAGCTTCATATGTGCTTACTTTTAACTGCTTGAGAGAAACTGTAGCACTAGTTGACTGCCATTCAGACTGCAGGATCACAAATGGAGCTAGTTCTTGCACAGTAACAAATCATCATTATTTATATCTGTGTTGTGAGGAGAATGTAATGTGTATTATGTTTCGAATGCATGTTTCCTCCATGTTTACATATTCAATTTCTGTACATTTGTGTCTCTTAGAATGATGGAAGATTTCTCAAATGAAGAAATGCCTCGGAATCAGCCTTCTGTGAGGCATTGGCTGCGATACATTGAACACAAGAAGGGGAGTCCTGAACACACTGTTAATGTTATCTTTGAAAGAGCCCTAAAGGAGTTACCAGGAAGGTATGAGTGTTAAATAAACACAGGGAATTTTGTTCATGAAACAAAAACAAAAAGAAATCTGATGCCTGTTCTGAAATAATTAAAGAATGTAATGGCCTTCTGATTAAAAAGTTATATTGTGTAAAATTCAGAAATGATCTTCTGTTTTATTAAATGTATTTTTTTAATCAGAAATGTCCTCCACATTATATTCTTTATTGGCATCTTCTGTCCGTGAACACTAGAAAGCGCTGTATAAACAGTGATGAATGCAGAGTTTCAACAAGATTCTGTTGGTAAAGTTAGGGTGTTCAGCTGTGGGGCTGTACAAAACCATCAGACACAAAAATAATTCAAAGATTTCTATCCAAATTCTTGCACTCAGTAACTAAATCACCTTGTTATGTCTCCACAATGAACTGCAAATCCCATTCGTCATAGAAGAAATACATAGATTGTCAACAATCTACCATCAAAGCATACTCAGACACAATAACAGACTACATGTAGAAATTAACAACCCACCAAATGTAAGAAGTTTGAGGAGACAGTGGCTGTCTGACCTACCGCAGCCCACAGATGATGAAAATTAAAACCATCACCTTTCCTCGACAGGGCCTGTCAAGAGTATCATCAGTGTATGACTTCTCTACTCAAGGCACATACTTAGAACAAATTTACTTATTGCTCCATATTATCGAGAGTAGATTGTAAATATTTTCTAAATTAAATAGAAAAAATTGGTTCTCAAAAATCTGCCTTTGAAGCTCGGTAGATGTGGGGTAATAATGTTACGGTCTTGATTTGTAAGTTTCGATTAAAGTCTTGACACTAGTACATAGTAATGAAGTACACTCACATTAAGAATTTTTAATGTATAATTTAATTTTACTTGCTTTGTTTATTACCAGATAGGCATTTGAAAGTGTTGATTTGTTGACGAGTTTGCCAGTAGGTGTGGATTGTAATAATTTGCTAGTAAGCAATAGCAACCCAAATTTAAACTTAATTTAGAACTATCATATTGGCTTTTCATTCAGACAATATCAACCCATTTATACAGTCAATTTATTTTCCCATTTATATATATTAAGGTAACATCATATTCCTTTGTAGGCTGCAGTCTCACATTACATGATTAACCCATCCAGCAAATGCTGACTGAAATATTTAATAAGTCATTAAAATAAACTATGGTAATGAAATATTGTGACATAGAAGTAGGCAGATACATTAAAACTCTCAGTGGTTGTGGAATTTGCAGATTACTGGTGATGCTTTAAAAAACCAGATAAATTCATAATACAGAGACTAAGTTAAACAGAATTCTTTAATTGATTTCTTTTATTAAAGATAATTTATTACATTGTGGTAACAAGTTAAAGATAATTTATTACACTGTGGTCACAAGTTAGTACCAATATATTCTTTCTCTTCTGGTACCACAGTTTTCTTTATCCCTATGTGGTGGTGTTTTCTGCTTTTTATAACTTGTCTTTACATTAATTAACATAAATCTAATTGCTCCTTGCATATATTTTAAATTGTATTTTTCTTCCCAGCTATAAATTGTGGTACAGTTATCTCACGCTTCGAAGGAGACAAATCAAGGGACGCTGCATTACGGATCCCTCATATGAAGATGTAAATAATGCATTTGAGAGGTCATTGGTTTTCATGCATAAGGTGAGTTTATTGTGTCTGTGAGTGTGTGTGCATGCAGGTGCGAACTCACAGTTAGAAATCGAAACTATATATGAAGTTGGAATTCTGTTCAAATTTGAAGTCTGAAGAAAAATGATGAGTAGTTTTTTATGTACTATAGTTTTGTATTGGCAACATTCATTGCACGGCATTGATGAAATTTAACTTCAGTACTTAATGAAATGGTTCCAGGCCATATTATCCTGTCTAGATTAGAAGTAAACTTGAAGAATACCTCATTCAGTATCTCCATATCAAGAGTACATACCGGCACTTCTGATATAATACTTTATTTGCATGCTTAAAAAAACAGAAATATAACAAAATACTATAAAAATAATTGTAATATTCTGCAATGGTATTTTAATCTAATTTGGGACTTTACATCCACTCCCCCATATGCCTTTATGGCACAGTGCTTCATTACTTAAGCACAGGGACAACTTTACCTTTACCAGCAATTGAAAATGCAGCTTTGTTGTAATGGGGTCTTTCTTAAGGTTGAGGCTGTGATACCAGTTCCGTTTTTAAGTATATTTAATAATTTCTTTTTATTCCAGATGCCAAGAATTTGGCTTGACTATTGTCAGTTTCTGATAGATCAGTGCCTTATAACGAGAACACGACATGTGTTTGATCGTGCGCTTCGTGCTCTGCCCATTACTCAGCATCATCGTGTCTGGCCTCTCTATCTGAAATTTGTGAAAATGCATAACATTCCTGAAACAGCTGTTAGAGTTTTTAGAAGGTATCTTAAGGTTAGTACAACTTTTAATCATAAACTCTGGGATGGATTGGTAAGCTACTTAGGGTGATATCAATCTGAATCGCACGTAAATTTCACCTTTAGGTTCAAGTCCTATGAGGACTGCCACTGGCTTTGCACTTTGTTAAAAATCAAATCTATATATATATATATATCAGTACCAGAAATATTCTAGTAAATGTATGTCTTCTGTTTCATAGTTATATCCGGAAGATGCAGAAGATTATATCGAATATTTGATATCAATAGGACGATTGGATGAAGCAGCAATGAAACTAGCCTACATTGTGAACAAAGAAGATTTTGTGTCAAAGCATGGCAAGTCAAATCATCAGTTGTGGAATGAACTTTGTGAGCTAATTTCAAAGAATCCTGGTAAAGTAAGGTGAGAATATTGCTACTTCCATGTCATTATTATGAGGGAGAGTCAGTAAATAGGTCATAGATGAAAGTAAGACACCTGTAATGGATGAAATAGGTTTTCTTTGTAGCAGCATAGTCCAACATCAGGATAGTCTAGGTAGCAGACATGCACATGAATGATCAGAGGCTGGTTTCAGTAGTCAAAATGGCAACTGTGCTTGAGGGGCGTAACACTGGAGAGCAGCATTGTGTTGTGCGGTTTATGTGGGCAAAACGACTCGGTGCAAAGGATATTCATAAAGAAATGTTTCCTGTTTACTGTGGGAAGTGTTTGTCACATAATGCGGTTCACAGCTTGGTTGAGATATTCTCTCAGGGATGTTTGAAATCTCAGACGATGAAACAGAGGTGCAGAACAGTCAAAATACTTCTATGCTGCAGATTTCTACTCTTTGGTAAAGAAATGGGACAAGTGTATCAATGTTGGTGGAGGATATGTTGAGTAATGAAAGTTCTTTCGAGGTTTAAATATCACTCTCACATTGCACACAACATGTTTCGGCCCTAAATGGCCATCTCCAGGTGTCTTACTACTGCTACACTGCACTAATATTGTCCTTTCATTGCATATGCAACTGCATGCTTCATAGTTTAAAATGTCATACTCGTAGTCAATTGGTATCCGCTAAATAGCACACACCCTGTAGTTCACTTAATTTAAACCAATAAAATCTATTAAAATTTTATATTTTAATTTCATTTAAATTTTATAAAATTCTTATTGCACCTCACGAGGGCATTGTACAAGTTGATGGGAATTCTCATAATTTGTGCTCCGCAAGAAATATTAGTAGGATGATTACGTCAAGGAGGAGCTCATGGGTTGGACATATAGCACTCTCAGAACTGATGAGAAATACATACAAAATTGGCAATATTCAGCTTCTTATTTTGCTCAATTTTTGTTAAGTCGACAATCGAAAAAAAATACCTCAGCAGTTGAGAAGACTTCAGGTTATCACCAATATTCCTTGCAGGGGTATGTTACGCATTATAAAAGCTCAAAGAAGATAAACGCTTAAGTGAAGACACTGAAATTGGCATATTAAATACTTAGACACACATATGTTATTACAGGCCACTGTTAATAGGAAAGGATGAGAGGTTGGGTATTAATTTATTAGAATGACAAATATGATACATACATTAAATGTTGAGTCACCCAGCGCAAATAGAGAAACCTATGGGATGCAAAATAATCTGACACAGTTGCAGGGGATTCTGATTCAGTGCAATATGTTGACCTGTGGGGTGGTGCCAACCGTCCTTACTGCTTGGAAGGGGCATGCATCAAGTTCACTTCCACATGGTCTCTGGGTCTGTGGAGAGGACGCACGGGCTGCAGGAATCATGGACGGACACCTCCTTCTGCACTCACTTGTTGCACTGCTTGCAGCTGCAGATGACATCCCCTAAGAAAAAGCAAGATACTGTGATATATGAAAATTAATCAAATTATTGAAATTGAGAAAGGCCTTTGGAATTGATGGTATTCCAGACAAATGCCTCAGGCACCTTCCAAAATGGCCATGTGGATATTTGGCACAGTTATTTAATTGCATTTCCAGAGTCTTAGAAGGATGTTACCAATAGGAGGCTGTAACAAGCTGAGAAGACTAGTGTGGAATATAATGATTTGCACAGCATTGTGGTTACACGTAGGAGCTGGGATAGCCGATTTGGTATATTGAAGGGCTATGGGTTGGACGGTCCAGGTTAAATTCCCTGCAATGCAAGATTTCTTCTCCACAGCATCCAGACCGACTCTGGGGCTCACCCAGCCCCGTGTCCAATGGGTACCCGGGGCTCTCACCTGAGGGTAAAGCAGCAGGGCCATGTAGCTAACCACTCACCTCCATCTAGTGCTGAGGTGAAGAACAGTTGAACTATACCTCCACTTCCCTATATGTCTTCATGGCATAGTGCTACCTAATTAAGCACAGGGACAACTTTACATTTTTACAGTTACTTGTAATTCCAAGCTGTAGAGTCCAATAAATCCAATTACCCATCCAAACCCAATCTATAGTCACTTAACACGTGACAGTATTATTCTCAGAATAAACAGCATTAATTGGTTGCTCTTTGTAATGAAACTATATTCTCTGTAAGGTAGGAGCTGAATTATCAGATATTGTTTAGTCCTTAAAAAGATAACCGCAGATGCAAATTGTCTTATTTATCATACCAATGGATTGCATCGTCAAGGTTTGAGTATCCAGTATTTTTATCTTCACTCTGACCAGAACTGCTTCAGGGACCACCCAACTTCATCTCCACTGGATACTGATTGCTCTTTCTTTGGAGGGCATAGGACCAGAGCCCAAAGTTGGTCACTCCTCTCCAGCTTTTTTTGTCATTTACAATTTTATGGAGCCTCTTTTTTTTTCCTTCTCCCCCCCCCCAGTGGGGCGGGACCAAGTCCCTTGCACTGCGGCCACTTGTGGCCTATTGTACCAGCCCCAGATGATAGGTGAGGGTGATTGTGGAGCAATTAGTGGAATGAAGATTGGCAGGGGATACCAAAGTACTCGGGGAAAACCTGCCCCAGCGCCACTTTGACCACCACAAACACCACTTGACCAGACACGGGATCGAACCTGGACCACCGCGGTGGGAAGCCAGGGAGCGAAAAACCGCTTGAGCTATGGCGCGGCCACTAGCTTCCATCTTCGCGCTGCTTATATACATTCAAACTATAACAGTTATGCACAAAGATAAATTTACCTCGTTACCTTTTTTTATATGGATATAAAGCCATGTCATTCTTGATGTCTTTACCTTTACTTCCATGACTGCCAACTTTGGTGGTTTTAAAGTTATGTGACATTGTCTTAGACATCTGGAAGCTTGTTAGTTGGGCATCATGCCTGAATTAAACAATAACCCTGTTCTCTGCAATAAAGCATTGTAATGTCATACCTTTCAGATCTCTGAATGTTGATACAATTATTCGGGGAGGACTCAGAAGATACCCAGATCAAGTGGGTCATCTATGGAACTCATTGGCAGATTACTACGTTCGCAGTGGTCTCTTTGAGAAGGTGGGTATAGGTGATTATAGTGTTCTTGTGGTTAAATCTGGGAGCCAGGATAGCACAGTCGGTATAGCGACTGGCTACGGGCACATTAGCCAGACCTTTTCTGGGGAACATCCAGCATCCTGTCCAATAGGTACCGGAACTTCTCCGGGGATGAAGCAGCCAGGATATGAAGCTGAACACTCACTTCTGACTAGTGCTGAGTTGAAGAATATGAGGATCTGTACAGCCATTCCTCAATACGTTTTCATGGCATAGGATGCACACAACTAGTTAAACACCAGGACAACTTTACTTTGTGGTTAAATCTAAAATAAAAATGTTAATAAAGCTGGTGAAATAGGAATGAATATTTGCTGTAATTTGTTAGTTGTGGAGTTTAGTGAAAGACTGCAAATATATGACTGGATGGGGTTTATTTAACAATGAGAAGCAAGAATTAACATATGTATTAATTTTGTTTTAAAGCTCTACCCAACTTGAGTCCTGAAGTTATTCTTGGAATAGTACGAGTATATTGTACTAATATCTATTGATATTGTCCAACTGAAATTTGCTTCTTTTGCTGGACACAGGCCCGAGACATTTATGAAGAAGCAATTCAAACTGTGACCACAGTGAGAGATTTCACTCAAGTGTTTGATGCTTATGCACAGTTTGAAGAATTAAGTTTGAGTAAGAGAATGGAGGAAGCGGCAGGAAATTTGAATCCTACGGAAGAAGGTAAGGATTATAAAATAGGTTTATTTAATTTTGAAACAAACCTGCAGCATGAAAATTCGAATGTAAAACTACCAGAACTGTTGCTCTGTTTAGCATTTAAATGTAATTCATATTGTGGTCTTCTGGGCTATGATACGTGTAATTGGATAGGTGTCAATATTTCAGAGGAACATGCTGCCTTTTATACCCTGAAAATTGGGGCAGTATTTTTTTCCAAAATGTTGGTACTTACCTAGCAGGCTATGTGATACTAGGACCCAAAACACTGCAATACAAGCAGATATATTATACTTATCATTGTGTATTAAATCAGCCTCATGATTATAATTGAGGAGCTGTTTCAAGGAAATAGCGGCTCCGGTGTAGAAAACCGAAATTGACGGCAGTGGGGATTCGTTGCGCTGACCACACGACACCCTCTATCTGCAAAAGTTGGCACTAAACTTCTCCGACAAGTGAAGTATAGTGAGGTCGGTATAGTTCACTTGCGGACTAAAATCACGGAGTTTATGTGTTTGTTTTGTGTATTAAATTAGTGATTTAAAAAAAGAGTCAGGTGGATGGGAACAAGTACAAGTTGCAAGTTGTACTGAGTATGATCTGACCCTCAGTGGCTATAAATTGTGTTTACAGACGACATTGACCTGGAATTGCGACTAGCTCGATTTGAGTACCTGATGGAACGAAGGCTCCTGCTTCTGAACTCGGTCCTGCTACGACAGAACCCACATAACGTGCAAGAGTGGCGCAAGAGGGTCTTACTGTATGAAGGAAAACCCCATGAGGTAATATCAGATATTAATTTCTCATCAGGTATTGAACTGTGTGACCTGTTAAGCTGCATGCTATCTCCTCATTGGGCTCCCTAAATTTCTCTTCCCCCATGGTTTGTATCCTGAAATCTGTTCTATAAAACGTACATGCAAGAACAACTGTTTCAGTTCAAAATGAAGTTGAGACAAGAATTTGAAAAATTCAAAAACTGGGACAAGAACGAAAATTTTCTCTGCTACATCAGTTTCTTCGCTGTAGTCAGAATTAATAATTTTCATAAACCAATGTGTTTAAGAAACTAAATTCTAGGGCCATATCCTTTTTATCGTGGACAGAAGTGGTGGGGGGCAGACTTTGTTGGCGAGCTGATCTGTGTGACCACTGGTATCCATCATCATGACTCTAATGAACTGGGATGTTCATGTGCTTCTGTTCAAAACCACAGCAATTATATGAAAATTTTCAAATTTCAGGAATGAAGAATAAATATGTGAATTGAGATGGAGATTTTTTTTTCATTTGCACTTGAAAATTTGAGACTCACACTTGCCTACGTGTTAACTAACTCACTCACTCACTCAGTAATTCCATGGAGCTCTGTCTTTCTTCATTCAACTGCTAAAGAATTTCCCAACATTTTATGAAACCTGAAGGTTTATTACGAGGTTCACAAGAGCCTGCCACTGGTCCCTATCCTGAGCCAGATTAATCCAGTCCATACCATCCGTCTTAGTACTCACTTACCGACAGGCATTACTAAAGAGTCCACTATTAGGACTGCTGTTTAAATTTTTAATGAATGTGTGTCAGCTACTAAGTCATGATATTGTAATGTGTTTTGGTACTGAAGACGCCTTTCGGGTTGTTAATTGGTTTTATTAACAACCTACAAGTCGTAACTGCAATTGGTTATGACACTGCTGCAGGTTTACACAATTTACAGACCCTACACACTAATCTCTTCACTCTGTCTTCAGTAGTCTTCGCTTTTTTACATTACAACTTGAGAGCTATACAAGTGTCACTGAATTACACACTCCCAATAAGCAATACCTTCTCAGTTATCACAAACTATCACTGATTATCGCACTAAAATCTTCTAACCACGCGTTCAGTTCTTCTTCCCGCGACTGACTGACTGACGACTGACTGACTTCTGCTCTGCCGAATACTCCGAATACTCACTGACACTGTCTTCGGCGGCTGCTACATTTCAACTGACTCCTTAGGTATTCCAGTCTCTCATATAAACCCTCAGTTGGACAGCAGAAAATGCAGCTTGCTTCACTGTTGTGTGATGCCATGTTTACAGAGGGGTTGCTTGGCATCGCTGCTGATAGTTATTTATTACTGCTTAGCAACCAAAGCGCTTCAGCTTTGCCACGCATGGCATGGAGAAACGCTGCTTTCCTTACTGTTGCATAACCTCGTTTCCACTGTTACGTAACTTGGCAACCGACCGTTTATCAAGAGTCTGTCTTGGTGGTGACTCGTTCACATCCCATTGCCCAGCAATGATTTGACATGTCACAGTATTTTACTAATACAGCAATTTTATGTTTCAGATTATCAACACATACACAGAAGCAGTTCAGACTGTAGATCCAAAGCTTGCAGTTGGGAAACTCCACACCCTTTGGGTAGCATTTGCAAAATTTTATGAAGAGAACAGGCAAATTGATGATGCTCGTGTGGTTTTTGAAAATGCCACCCATGTCCCTTACAACAAAGTTGATGATTTGGCATCTGTCTGGTGTGAATGGGCTGAGATGGAGATTCGGCATGAGTATGTTTTACTGCTTATGTCCTTATATTTACAAATTCTAATGTATCTGGTCACCGGTCACAGTAGCCAAGCAGTCTAAGGCATGTACTGACTTCACTTGCTCAGAAGCTGGGATTGTGGGTTTGAATCCCACACAAGGCATGGATGTTTGGTATGTGTAGGTGTTTATTCTGTGTTTGCGTTGTCCTATGTTTAGGTAGGGGCCTTGCAATGAGCTTATCACTCGTCCAAGGAGACTACCACCTGTAAAATGAT